GTATAATATATGCATATTATAATTATATGTATATGATAGTTCATAGTAATGCCATCGTAATGAATAACTATTCTGTAATAACTCTGCATAAAGTAATGCAAAGAAAGTTATCTCAATTTAAACTATTCAATACTTTGTTGTGAGTAACTTGGTAAATCCATTTAAATATGCCTTTTTTAATTTCTTGCTATCCCAATTTGTATTATTTTCACATGTGTGCTCTAGACGTAAATGTACACTTCTAAGTTTTCACAGACTAACTTCATGGTGCATCACTTGATGTTGAGTGTGGAGACCTCCTAAGTGCATGGATCATATTGCTCTCTAGATACATTATAAGCTTCCAAAAAGGACTTTATATATTTTCATTATACACTTAAAACAAAGGTGTAGGTTTTGGTATTTATTCAGAATTTTACAAAAGTTAGTAGAATGCTGATCGCCACAATAATATTTGGAGCACTGGCAGCCAAGGAATGCTAAGGATAATTGGGAAAAAAGTAGTTATTAAATATAGTGATTAAAGTTAATAATGATATACTATATTTTTGAAAATAATTAGATATATTTTAAATGAACTCATCAGAACACTTATAAGTACATGAAATGAAGCATATGTGTTCATTGATACATTGTGTCAACTTGGATGAATCAGCTCCGGCACTTCTCGGTGTGGGGGCCTAGTCCTGCAAGAGGGCAGGGCCTAGGAATTGAGGAAGGCTTCCTGCCCTACACTGCCCTGCTTCCATGGAGAACTCCCAGTCTTGGCAGGAGCTTGATCTTCACAGCCATGCCACTTTGGAGGAGCTGCAATATTCGTCTTGGAAAGCCAGTCTTCAGTCTTCGCAGTCAGCATAGAAGGAAGAGAGAGGCTGGATGGACACTGCAGCTGCTGCTCCTCCTCTGATCTTCATTGTTTTCTTCCACATAAACTGTCATTTGCCTTGGAGCAAGCAGAATATGGACTGAAGCCTCCTGTAACTGTGAGCTAAATAATCCTTTCTTTCCTTCAATCTGAGTGTCAGGTATTTGTCCCAGCAAGGAGTAAAAAAGTAGCTAAAACAGCATATATTAATTATTTCAGTCTAGCCATTCCTTAATGACATCTCCTTTTTACTTTTGTTTTTTGACACAGTATCTCACAATGAAGCTCATATTAGCCTTGGACTCACTGTGTACTGTGTAGCTCAGGATGGTCAGCAATTTATAATGATCCTCCTGCTGAGCCTCCAGAGTGCTGAGATTACATGTGTGTACCACCATGCTTAATCTAGTTATTCCTCAATGAATACACATTTCAAGAATCTTTATATACATTGAATAATGCATGGACTGCAGCAAAAAGTACTTCAACTGTTTCTCTGCCTTACTACTAAAATCAATCGTACAAAGTACTACTTCAGGTCTAACCTGGGGGAGCTTTAAAGCTGACTGTGTGTGGCCAATGAGATTTAGGACTATCTGAGGAGACCACTAAGTGAGCTGAGGAATGTGAGTTCCCCTAGTCACTTGGAGGGCATGGGCCTGATTTACAGGTCTGAGGAGGTCCATTAAACAGGAGGTCAAAGAAACCTTCTACTACAGTGATCCTCCCTAAATAAACCAGTGAGATTGAGATCCCCCAGAAAGACAAGTGAGGATCTTAGTATAATGCTTGGAGTGAGTCTTCCATGTCCAATCTGCTTGCTAGCAGAGATACTATTCTCAAGAAGGAACTCAGCTCAGTCCCCAGGCTATCATCAGCATACACAGGATAAAACAGGACAGGGAAACCAGCCAGTCCTAAGACATCTGGCTATATCTGGAGATATCTAAAAACTTACATGGACCTTCGAGGACATTTTTCCCCAATGAAAGGCAAGACTACCAGAGAGCTCTGACCACAGATGTATATTAAAATTTTCCCACCTAATGTCCCTTTCTTTTCAATCCCTATAAAAGAGACACACTTCTCTTTGTGCCCCACAGGTGTTCTTTTCTCCTGTCTTCTTGAACCCAGGCACAGTGAGTTCCATGCCACGTTGCCTTTACACAAACCCTGGGGTCTCTGCTGGTCTCTGCCCCTTGCCCTACCATTCATTACACTTAGAAAAAGTTCCTTCACAATAGCACTTTTTTCCCTTTGGGATTCCACTAAGTAACCTTGCTCTTGAGTATTCCCTTTGCTACAGAGCTCCAAAAGCCTGGACATAAGGCATCTCATGCCACGTTATTTGTTCCAAGAATAAACACTAGAGATTGAACTCATAATTAAAGTACAAACCCATATCTATATTTTGCCCCTTTTCAGTTCATATTGAATCCAGACTGTATTGCAAAAATAGATAAACTGTGCTTGTTTCAAATTGTCAGGATCAATCCTGTCCCATTCATCAAGCATAAGGCCTACCGGTGAAGTCAATGTAATTTGTGTGGTGATGAGATCTAACAGATTCCCTATCTGCTTGCTTTGGGACCTGTAGAGAGGAGGGAGTTAGGCCTGCACTCCTTATGGTGGCACACCACACAAAGTGAGGAGACACAAAATGCACAACATGCCTCTTGTGAAACTTTACACAATGTGTGCAGAAATCTCCATGCCGACCTTGGGGCAATAATGGTACCAGGAATACAGAAGTGCAGAAGAAGTTGCCCTGAGGGCTTTTGTCTTCACATCAAGGACTCATTAACTCCTTGGGGATAAAGAGGCAAGAACAACTCTAGGCTGTACCTAATATTGTAATCTCCATGAAGTAATGGCAGAAATTCCCCAAGCAAAGTTCTCTAAACTACCTAGCTGAACCTCTTCGTAGGCCTAATGTGTACTCATTCTAAGTTGCTTGCATGCTCAGCTGGTATTTCAAGTTCCTGAATGACTGATTTAACAAAAGGAAACCAAATGTGAAAATGTCTCATGTTTATTTTGATGGCAAAAGGACTACAACAGGGATGGGTCTGTTTTTATACATCCACAGCAATGTTAATTAGCTTTCAAATGCTAAAGGCATTTGCTTAGGCATCATGCATAGGTCTTCTTTTTCCAAAATTTTATTGAGAAACAAATATCAATGAGACAGTTTCAAGTCTGATGAGTAGGACAGTATCAATAATCACTACATTGTATGTTGTTGTCTTAGTTGTTATTAATTGTACAAGAAGCAGACATGATATTCCGTCCACAGACACTATTAGAACAAATCTTTCTATTCATTGAATTAAGAGTATGTACCTATATAAATATCCTAACTCTTTTGAACATACTTATATAAATTGGTCCTTCATATGTATTCCCCTTTTTAGTTTACTTCTGTCATTTAAATGTTATAGGTGAGTGAATTCAGAAAAATACTATAAAATACTCCAGTAGACCATAATAGTAGTGGTTTTTACCTAAGACTGACAATGACAGAAGTTGTTGCCTTCAGACTTTACAGCCTAGAAAATTAATATGGCTTTACCTTATATACCTCCTTTTTTACATTTTTATGTTGGATGGTTAAGACCAAGATAAAGCAAACCTATAAAACAAGCAATATAGCTTTTGTATCTGATAAGGTCAGTCACATCCCCTCAGGACTTATCCTGAAACCCTGTACCGCAGGTTGTAGATCTTTTATCAGTGTCAGCCATGTGGATGAGTCACAGCCATTGCTTGACCAATTTGCTCTCTGTGAAAGTGTATGTTTTCTCTCCATGTGACTCTCCTTAGGCATACTCTACATCATCGCTCACTTTCATCTGTGGCTGCATAATCTACTTGATCAGAAAATTTAGGACACAACTGAGTTACATGATGTTACAGTATAGATTCTCCTATGTCCTGAGTCTTCACTGAACTTGAAAGGCTTGGGCTCAAATGTTGGCGCTCCTTGCAGCCCTTCTTTTCTCAAATTTTTTATTTGCAAACTTAGGTTGTTAACCTTCCAGGAGAGAATCTTATTAATACTACCCTACAACCTAGGCTATTGAGCTTAACCTCACTATCTGTCTGAATATCAAACATCTTAGGCATAATATGAAACAGTTATTTTTCATCAAGTATTGATATGTAAAACTTTAAGTCCCTACAGAATATGAAGGAAAAAAGTTAAAAAATTAAAATGTATTTAAAAAATAGGAATAAAAAAATGTATATTTTTGCACAGAGGTTTAGAAATCAAATCATATACAGCATTGTAGCAGGACATTCCTACAACACACATTTTCCTGTCTCCTGCCTTCCTTCACTACCCCCTTCCTTTTTATACAAACATCTACGTAAGAGACAACATGGAAGCAACCAGTGTGTCATGAGAAGGAGCACGTATTCAGAAGATCAGAGTGACAGGCACTACAATCATGACCCTACTATTACACATTGCCATCTTCAGTTCAGTTGCTTAGTTTACAGGTATCAACATATACAGTTAGTCAGGGTGAGAATCCTACCAATTAACTGCTAGCTTTGAAAACCTTCTGAAGAGTCTCAGGATCATTTTCTTACTGATACTGTACATATAAATGTATGACTTTGTCCCTGTAATATTTCCTAGATATATTCCTTGCTCTCTCTTCATTGTCTAATCCTCAAGTTCTTGCATTCTTTTTAATTCTGTTAGAGCTTTCCATACGTATTTCTTCTTTTGAGTCCTTATACTAGGGAGACTATACGATATTTACACATATGTGTCTGGTTTATTCACTTATGAGTATATCTTCAAGTGGCTTCCACTTAAATATGAAGGCTTCAAGCTTATCATTCCTTATAGCTGAGTAATACTCCATTGTATAAAAGTACCACATCTTTTTCATTCATTCTTCAGGTGATGGGCATTTGGTTGTTTCCAAGATTTGGCTATCACAAATAAAGTAGTTTGGCTACTGTTATAAACATAGGTACACATATATCACTATAATGTGAGGTTTTCAGATCCTGAGGCAAAATTCCCAGCGATGGAACAGCTAGTTTGGATGGGATGCCCAGTCCTAGTTTTTCAGGAGTTTCCTCACGGATTTCCTTAATGGTTGCACCAGTCTACATTCCCACCAGCAATGGAGAAGGGTTCCTTTTTCTCCACAGCCTCTCCAACATTTGATGTTTGTTGATTTCTTTATGATAGCCATTTTTTCTGGGGTGAGATGAGATCTCAGTGTTGTTTTAATTTGCATTTCATGGATGGCTAGTGATGTGGAGCATTTTTTCATATTTTTATTCAATTCTATCATTTCGTCCTCTGAGAAGCATGTGTTCATCTCGGATGGCCATTTCTGCATTGGGTCTTTAAATTTTGGTGACCTAATATTTTTAATTCTTTATAAATACTAGAGAACAGACATATGTCTGAATGCTTCTTTGTCAAGTGTTTTTCCAAATTTGTGGGTTGTCTTTTCAATTTGTTGGTAATTTCTTTTGACGTCCAAATCTTCTCAATAAGGGGAGGTCCCAGTTCTTAATTCTTTCAAGTATTTCCCCTTGCGATTTCATTTTTGTTTATCAACCCTTTGCCCACCCCTATGTCTTCAAGAGTTCCTCCTACTTTCTCTTCCAGGAAATTTTGTGTTTCTGTTTTAATGTTTAGATCTTTAATCCATTTGGACTTTAGCTTAGTACATGGTCATAGTCCTGGATCAAGTTTTACATCTTGGCATGTAGAGAGCCAGTTTTTCCAGCACTAGTTGTTAAAGAGACTATCTTTCTTCCAGTAAGCATGTTTAGCCCCTTTGTCAAAGATAAGATGACTGAGAGTGTTCAAAGAGTATTCTGCATAATCTAGTCTATTCCTTTGGTCCTCAGGTCTATTTTGTTGCCAGCACTAGGCTGATTTTGTTACAGTAGCCTTGTAGTGTAATTTCAAGTAATTAATTGTAATGCTTCCCACCTTGTCTTTGTTACCCAGGATTGTCTTTGCCATTCTGGGTCTTTTCTGATTCCTAATAAATTTTAGGAACAATTTCTCTAGTTCTATGAGGTATGTTGGTGGTAGTTTGATAGGGATTGCATTAAATCAGTTCAGCAATTTTGCGAGTATGGCCGTCTTCACAGTGTTGGTTCTTCCTTTCCACTGCAGAGAATATCTTTCCATTTTCTGAAATCCTCCACGATCGCTTTTTTCAGAGTATTGTAGGTTTTCTTGAGTAGAGCTTTGACTTCTTTAGTTAGGTTAATTCCAAGGTATTTCATTTTCCTCGGTGCTATTGTAAAAGATATTGTTTCTATAATTTCCCTCTCAGTGTGTTTATTATCTGTGTAGAGGAATGCTACTGATGGGTGTTGACTTTGTATCCTGCTATGCTGCTGAATTTGTGTATTAATTCTAGTAACTTTTGGTGGAGGTTTTTGCATCTTTCAAGTTAAATATCATATCATCTGCAAATAATGATAATTTAGCTGCCTCTTTACCCATTCTTATTCCTTTTATTTCTCTCTCTTTTCTAATGACTCTACTTAATGATTCCAGAACTATATTGAATAGGAGTGGTGATCCTTGTTCTGTACCAGATCTGAGAGTAAAAGATTTCAGGTTTTCCCACATTTAGAATTATGTTAGCCATTGTGTGTTCATACATGACTTTTATTAGATTGAAGTAGAGGCTATATATTCCTATTTTCTGTAGGACTTTGAACATCAATGAGTGTTGAACTTTGTCAAAAGACTTTTCTGCATCAATTGAGATGATCATGTGGCTTTTAGATATGGCTCTATTGATATAGTTTATTACATGCATAAATTTGAGAATATTGAATCATCCTTGCATCTCTGGGAGGAATCTTACATAGTCATGGTGTGATCTTCTTGATGATTAGCTGTGTTCTATTTGTTACAATTTTATTGAGAATTTTTGCATCTATGTTCATGAGGCAGATTGGCATGTAGTACTCTTT